GAGACCCCTTCCAACCGCCAGAGACCTCGCCCGACCGTCCGAGACCCCGTCCGACCGCCAAAGACCCCGTCCGACCGCCAGAGACCCCGTCCGACCGCCAGAGACCCCGTCCGACCGCCAGAGACCCTGTCAGAGACCTCGTCAGACCGTCCGAGACCCCGTCCGACCGTTAGAGACCCCGTCAGAGACCCCTTCCAACCGCCAGAGACCTCGCCCGACCGTCCGAGACCCCGTCCGACCGCCAGAGACCCCGTCAGACTGCCAGAGACCCCGTCAGACTGCCAGAGACCCCGTCAGACCGTCCGAGACCCCGCTCGACCGTCAGAGACCCCGTCAGAGACCCCGTCCGACCTCCAGAGACTACTGACTACTTCTGATCATTTATGTCTTTCTGGCTGATCTGATTTCTAAAGATCAATATCGGATCAGAATATCCCTCATTTAAAAACATAAAAGCTCCTCCTCAGTAAAGGCTCCGTTACCAAAGCAACCAGGCCAGAGTCAGGCGAGCCAATCAGACAGCAGGAAACCTCCCAGAGAACATCTGGAATAGGATGAGGAGGAGGCAGAGAGCAGGACAGCAGCAGTCTCTACCTGGACAGTCTTTTTGATCCGCTGGGAAGGACCAGGATATTCTGGAGAGTATAGATCTGTGAGAAAGAGTGAGTTGATCAGCGTGGACTTCCCCAGGCCGGATTCTCCTGTAAGACAGAGAGCAGGGACAGAATGGATCCAGGCCTGACCAGGAGCAACACAGCCAGCTCCAGATGTTTATCAGCTCACATTCCTCACATGCTTCAGCCTCACACAGGAAACCACCCCACCCCTTTTGAAAACAAGCAGCTGATAACATGAGGAGAGGATGGCGGCTGGAAGGTCCCACCGTTCCCAAACCAGGCAAAATCAGGAGGAGGGATTAGGTTAGCCCTCCATGCTGCCACCGGCTCTTAATCTGGCTGCTCCTTCAGATTATTCTGACATCAGGTTCTTTCAGAAACCTCTCCCCGTAGTTTTAAACAAAAAAGTACATTTGTTACACATTTTTCATTCATAAAATATATATTTATACATAACGACTGAATTTAAAACTTTGTAAATTACCTGAAGAAAATGTTTCTAATTAATGGATCTGTTGACGATTTGAGATTAATTGAAAGTGGTCAGAAAATTACTAAAAGCCTTAATAATGCAGCAAAAAGTGGTGAATAGAACTTTTTCTATAGTTTAAATCAAATTAAGCTAAATCTGCAGTAGGAGGAGTTCTAGAATAAACAGATCTACAGACTCAGCAGACAGTTCTTCTGAAATGTAAAATATTTTGTTTGTTTTGTTCGGTTTTGGTTAGATTTCTGCCCTGAGTGAGACATATCTGAGCGCATACACCAGCCAGACATTGAAGGGGAGGAATTCTATTCAGTTTATTTCTATAGCTCCAATTCACATCATGTCATCTCAGGTCAATTTATAGTTCCCCAGATTATCCAGTCAAACTGATTCAAAGTTTTCTATCTAAGGAAAACCAGCTGATTGCATCGACTCATTGACTCTTCAGCAATCCCTCACACTAAGCATGCTTGTAGCGACAGTGGAGAGGAAAAACTCCCTTTGAACAGGAAGAAACCTCCAGCAGAGCCAGGCTCAGTGTGAGCGGCCATCTGTAAACCTGCAGATTGAGAGCGAAGTGCTCTGTTAGGAACATAAGGAACAATCAGATCTCTGATATCAGATGGAGCTTGGCCATTTAAGGCTTTATATGTGAGAAGGAGGATTTTAAATTCTATTCTGGATTTAACAGGAAGCCAATGAAGAGAAGCCAGGATAGGAGAGATATGATCTCTCTTTTTCATTTTCATCAGAACTCTGGCTGCAGCATTTTGGATCAGCTGAAGGCTGAGGTTTGTATCCTTGTCAGAGCGATAGATTAATCACATCTAAAATTGATTGAAGGGATTCACCTCTGAAGGAGATCAATTCAATAATCTATTAGCGAGAATCAGTGGACTGAATGATGGAGTCGGTCTGTTGACCTTTTCCTGATTGGACAGATTTCTCAGGAATGAAGGCGTTTTGTTTCCAACTTGAACAGTGGCGGCCGCTGTCGGCAGGATGACGCTGCAGCAGCAATCCCCCGAGTGGGACACCGAGCAAAGGGTGATGAGGAGCGGCTGAACAAAAGCTGGGCTGTGAGCTGAGGGCCAGCCTGGCAGCAGCTCCAGACCTTTTCCAGCTCAAGCTCAGCAGCTACAGCTCAGCCAACCAACCTACAGCCCATGAACGGTGGAGGTGAAGAGAAAAGCAGAACAAAGGGAGCTTTCTTCAACAACCTCATGGCTACAAATACTTTCCAAGAAGGGCAGAGGGACATTTATCCTCCAGCAGAACGGCTCACAAACCAAAGCTGAACGGCCATGGACTGGTGACACAGACCAAGGGGGCCAATCACAGCACAGATCCTGGAACCCAGAGTCCTAATGGGCTAAGAAAGGACCCTCTGGCCCCCCGATGGCCTCTCCACCCCTGAAGGTTGCTCTGTCTGCTGGGGGAGCAAAATGAAATCATCCATATTGATGAAATGATTCATGATCCACATGATCTACATTGATCCAAAATGAAAACATGGATCCATGTCTTCATCTTCAGCTGCAGGGTTAGAATCTGAACATCTGATCCATCTTCATCATCTCCCATCCAGAGAAATGGTTTAACTTCTAAGGCCTTGATGCAGGTGGTGGCGTTGGATGGGCAGACGATATCGCAGTATATGAAATGCAGACCCATAAACTGAATGAAAATGCTATCAGGACAAACTGTGACGTCAGCATGTGGCTGTTTGGTGATTAACGCTGCTGATCAACACGCCTACTGTCAAATCCTCCGCTCCTTTTTTTCATTACGATAATAAAAACTGACGAGCTAAATGTGGATCTCTGATGATGAAAACTTGAGAGTCATGGGTTGGAGTTTTAGTAAACGAGACGAGACTGAATAAAAATTAGCGGGTGGTCGGTCAGACGTTTAAACAGCATCGTTGCGCTGTAACCTGCTAAGTAGTATCAGCCGCGCTGCTGCGTCCTGTTTGAACACGCCGCCCACCTGGCGTGCAGCGGTGCTCATTCTGCAGGACCACAGATGAATCATGGCAGCAGCAGCAGGGAGAAAATAATCCACCGTGATCCGGGTGTCTGACAGAACATCGGTACGTCGCGCTGAACTCTGGCTAACTCCGATCTTCCAGCTGCGCTTGTGCAAAAATGCAAAAATGCATTTTTGCACAAGCACAGCTGGAAGGTTTAGGCTCTATTCTGATGGTTTGCTCTCAGCAGTACGGCTCTTCCTGCTCTCGCTACTCAATAAACTATATGTGGCTGATCATCCTCTGCCAAGCATAAAGATTCCCTTTGTCTTCCTATCAAGATTTTGTTTCTTCCAGCTCACAGGAGGTGATGCTAAACATTCTTTCCTTTCTCCTCTCTATCTTTTTAAGTGGAGAAGGCGGGTCTTTTAAAATAATTACCTTTTCATAGTACCTGGTTTGACTAGTCCAGACTCTAACCAGTGGTATTCTAAGGGGGCGCTAAGGTCATCACAAAAAACTGGAAAAAGTTGGCAGAAAAATGTATATATACACAAAATAAATTAATCTAATTATTTCTTTATCACTATTATGTTACTATTCATTCTTATAAAACACATTTTTTCATAAATTAAAGTATTATTGAGACAAAACATGAGGAATTAAAACTGAACTTAAAGATTCTTCCTCTTTTTTAACTTTGTAGGAAATAATCAGAGAACAAACTTTTACAAATAGAGCACATCTTCTACGGAGGCTTAAAAGGGACAAAACAAACAAAATATGAAATGAATAAAATATATACAATATGGTTTTATATTTTTATATCGATTTTATATATATAAAATCTATGAGAAATATGTCAAATCAAATGTTAAATTTGAAATATACAATGAAATAATTACTTTTACTATTTAATTAAACGATGACGTCATCTACATGTCGGTGTTAGAAATGAATTCTTTTACAGAAATATTTTGTAATTTTACTTCATGGCGTCCACAGAATCACCGTGAAATTATTTGAACTGTCAACTTGACCAATCAAACTCAGCGGGCGGGACCAGGACGGCTTTAGTGAGATGCAGGCCTCTGATTGGCTGTTTCAAACTGAGAAAATTCCTGCCAGTTTGCTTTGACTCTGAAGTCAAGATTTTTTTTCATATCTTCTGCATTTGGTCCAAAATATCTCCAACATAAGTAGGAGTTAGTCAGTGGGCGGGGCTTCAGTAGATGCTCCCTCCTGCTGTGCCCTCCTGTATCGCCGTTCGCCCTCCATGGCGGTCAGTGAGCCGACAGCCTGAGGGAGCTTTGAGTCGCTGGTTCTGCTCTGATCATCCAGTTTGTGGTTCAGAGCTGAACGTATACCAACCAAAGATGAGGAAGTCATTCTGAAAGTGGATTTGGTGGCTCTGCGCTGCCTGCTGGTTTCTAAAGGGGAACCTCTGAACTAACCACAGCAACATCACAGCGTTTCCCTGTAGTTCTGGTTCAGGTTCTGCAGAACTCATGGCTCAGATGTCCAGTTCCTGATGGAGCCTCAAACCATCAGGCCTCATCTCAGTGTTCAGAGCGAGGATGATGATGATGATGCTGTGGTTTTTATTTCCTTCCTAATAAAACGTTTAATCTCTGTCGCCTGGTAGAATACTCCGGGTTAGAGATGATGACGAAGTGGGGCAGACGGATCTGTTCCTGAAGCTCTAGCTTTCTGCAGGAGGAGCCGTCCGCGCTCAGCAGCCAGCCTGCTTCCTTTAAAGGAAATTTCCAGCAGCTGTGTAAACCGAGAAGGTTTCTCCAAACGGCCTGTTTGCTATTCAGCAGGATGGAAGGAAAATATGACAGGAAATGTGGATCGTTCCTCTTCCAGAGCTGCCATCTGATGCTCTGCTGGTTCCTGGAAGGAACATTTCTCTGAGAGCGGCCATCTTTTCCCCTCAGCCTGAGACCTAGAACCAGGAGAAGCTCCAAAGGTGTCTTTGATTTTCCAGCTTTACAGGATGCTGTGTGGCAGCAATGAGCCGACAGCCTGGAGCTGCTGTGGTCAACATCTAGGTCAGGCTCTGCCAACAAGGAAATCACTGCCAAACATCGACTTTGACTAACAAATGGCCCACTTAGTGTTGCCTGCTGACCCAGTATGGCAACAACAATGGCAGTAGATCTGCTGGTTCCCTCACAGCTCAGAAAACAATGAGGATGTAATCAGACTTTACTGTTGATAAGAGTCAATAAATGATTCAGCTTCCTTTTATAAACTCCTACTTGTTGGTTCCCCAAATCAGAACCTCTACTCTGGCATTTCAGTCATTTTTAACCTTCATTAGCGTCAGGCTTCAGCTGATCAACAGACCCCTGAACATGAAGCTCAGATGTTAATGTTGCTTCCAAGATATTCTCCAAGCAGCTTCATGCTCCACTGAACATGGCTGGTTACCATGATACAACATCAAGGTTTGCATCTCTGCAGACGGCGTCCCAGGAAGTGGAAATCAGATGAAAGAAAAAAACAGAGGATCAGACTGATGGCAGGAAATCAAAACCGCTTTTTCACTTTCAAACCAAACCGTCTCGCGTTCAAGGAAGCAGACGTTGAAACGTAGAAACAGAGGAGGACGTAGAAACAAAGGAAGACGTAGAAACAGAGGAGGACGTAGAAACTGAGGAGGACGTAGAAACTGAGGAGGACGTAGAAACTGAGGAGGACGTAGAAACAGAGGAGGACGTAGAAACAGAGGAGGACGTAGAAACTGAGGAGGACGTAGAAACTGAGGAGGACGTAGAAACTGAGGAGGACGTAGAAACTGAGGAGGACGTAGAAACAGAGGAGGA